AAAAATAAAAAATAAATAAATATATAAATAAATAAATGTATTTGGTACAGGGTATCTATTCAGCTGGGACTCATACTGACCCTCCTGTTTTCAGCCTCCCCAGAGCTGGGATTACAGGTGTGCACCACCATGCCCAGTCTCAGTGGCCGGCTCATCAGGAGTGAGGCTGGTGCAGCACATGGTGCCAGGGATCGAACTCTGGTCCCAGCACTTGCCTATGCAGGCACATAGTCCCAGGGATCTATCTCGACAGCCCTGTTCTATTTTCTTGATAAGTACAGACAACAAACTTGTTAAACTCATGTTACAGTTTACAAATAATTCCAAGTATAAGCTGACCTGACAACATGTTGTTTGTTTTTCCAACACAGAATCATTTCCTATGCAGACTTAAGTAAATGTTGCCCAACATGGCACACATGCCTATAATCCTAGTGCTCCAAAGAGGCTGAGGCAGGAGGATCATAGCTTGGGCAATTTAGTAAGGCCCTGTCTCAGAATGAAAAATAAAAAAGGATTGGACTATAGCTCAATGTGAAGCTCCTGTATTGAAAAGAAAAAATAAGCAAGCACATGTTATATCCTCAGGCTCCTTCCCTATGTATGCCATTCCACTTATGTCAGTAATAGGGCTTAACTTTACTGACAAATAGATGAATTTACAGAGTACAAAATTACTTAGAATGATGTCTAAAAACTATAGGAATACACCTTTGTCAACCAGTTATTGGGTGGGGGGAGGGGAGAGCTAGAGTTATCAAAGTCTGCTTTGGTTCTTTTTTCCTCCCTTAATGTAAACATCCAATCTTCAACCTCAAAGAACTGTTCCAATGAGAAGTAAAATGAGGGCTGGCCAGATAGCTCAGCAGATTAAAGTGCCTGCTTAAGTAGACACAGGGACTGGGGTTTGATCCCTGGACTGCTGTGCTGGTGCGTGTCCTGCCCCTGCCCCCAAGGCACGCTGAGATGGCAATTGAGACTGGGTGAGTTAGCACACACCTATAATCCAAGCACTTGGGAGGCTGAAAAACAGGAGGATCACTAAGAGTCCTGTCTGTGTAATGAAACCTTGTAGATCCTATAGACCCTGTACTAAATATATTTTTAAAAAGAGAGAAGTAAAACAATTTATAGAACCTCCTACGATACCAAACACATTCATAAATATATAAACTGCTAAGAAAACAAGGAGATACTACATTTTGAATATAAGAAAATGAAACACAAAGCCAGGTATGGTGGCACATCTATAATCCCAGTTCTCAGAGGCTGAAATAGGAGGATTGCTGTTTAAAGCCAATCTTTGCTACACAGTGAGTTCAGCCTTAGCCTAAACTATACAACAAGACCTTGTCTCAAAAACAAAAAGAACATTAAATGCACATTCACACACAAAAATAAAAATAAAGACTATCAAGAGCAACTACACATTAGCCATCTCCTAGAATTCCAACAATCTGCGAGCCTGAGAGAGAAAGACAGTAAGCATGAGACCAACCTGGGCAAGACCCCATTTGAAAATTTCAAAATGTAAAAATCACTACCTTCAGTGCTAGGGAAAAAACAAAACAAAAGAAAAACCATCAACAAGCTAGACTAATGATGCATGCCTATAATACCAGCATTTAGGAGGTTAAGGCATTTTAAGCTTTTCAGATATCTTAAAAACACTGACATAACTGAAATAAACTAAAATTCAAGTGGTATGCTGAATTGTTTCCAAAATAGAACTCAGCTTTAAAATAATTTTTGTGATTTTAATGGCCTTCTACAAATATCTGAAGAATTCGTATATTTAATTAAATGTACAATGACTGGATGTAAAAAAATACAAACCTTTCTATCTTAAAACTTTGACAAGGGGCTGGGGAGATGGCTCAGTAGAATAAGTGCTTGCCTGGCAAGTGCCAGGGCCAGAGTTCAATCCCCAGTTCTGGAAAAAAAAAAAAAAAAAAACAACTTTGACAAAGACTAAAGCTACTGACACTTGTCAGGTAAAGTAGTTAGTTCAATAACATACTCTTAAGACAGTTCTAGTGAGCATGCTTCTATAACTTTCCTATCAAGATTCTAAGTTTTAATTATAGACAGCTTTTATCTAGCAACGCTACATTGAGGCCTTTAAATAAAATATTCTGATATTGTGTACAGAAAAGGGTTAACAGAATGAGGGCGGGCAGAAACAGTCCCAAAACATAATTTAGAATACTATCTAGCAAATCCATAAAGGGAGTACTATACAGATAGTTACACAGATACACAGAGGTTTTTGTTATAAAGTAAGCTATCAGCAAATGGTGTACAATTATATATATATTTAAACGTCAAATATGAGCCTCTGTGTGTGTATGTATACTGAAGAAAGTGCTAGTAATTATATAAGTGAAGACAATCTATCTTTCCGCACTGCTTTTCTAATTAGAGGACATTTTTTTTTTTCCAGATTAAAAAATAGGGGGGTCGTGGGGCTGGAGAGATGGCTCAGTGGTCTGGAGCACCTACTTAGAACAAGCTT